AAAAAAAAAAAAAAAAAAAAAAAAAAAAGAACTCTGCGGGGGTGGGGGGGCTCCTATTCTTATTAAAGAAATGTTTGCTCTTAAATGCAGGGGAAACCTGCATAGCATGATGGTTAATCAAAGACCTCGGACTCTGACAGTCATGTGAATTCCTCTGTTCTAAAACATGACAACTACTGGCACCAGTTTGAACTGAAAAATGTATAAAGCCTTGGTAACATTCAAACCTTTAATATACAATAAACAGCTGAGCATGGTGGCGCACGCCTGTAATTCCAGCATTTGGGAGGCTGAGGCAGGAGGATCACGGTGAGTTTGAAGCCAGCCTGGGCTACCTCGACCGTGCCTCAAAAAAACAAAAAATAAAAGTAATACACAATAAATTGGGTACTGAAGACAAAAAAAAAAAAAGGATAGTAAACTATGTTGTATGAAAACCATGCTGTCTGGTGTTCATTTATTGCAGCCTGCACAGAGCCCACAGCGGGGCACTCAGCTTACCTTTGAACCTGGAGGGGGAGCCAAACCAAGGAACGAATAAATAATATTCTCTTCTTTGGCAGAGAAGAAAGAGTCAAAATCCTTAAAGGAAAGAAAAAGAATGTTTAGATGCACTGCACGCCCGCGAGCCAGTTCATTTCCCTAAACTGGTTCTCTGCTCTCACTATTCATTACGTTAGGGGCTCACACGTCGATGATTCATTTGCCTGGCCAGAGATGACCAAACCCAAGAGTTAAGAAATCTAACCTAAAGTTTAAGTTAGTTTGATACACTTTCATTGTGCTGTACAGCATCATGAGCACACAGACACACACAGACACACAGACACACACACACACACACACACACACACACACACACGCACGCACTAGTGCTCAGGAATCGCTGGTAAGATCCAAATATTTGCCGTTAAGGGCTTTTTCAAAAGTTCTATGCCTTTAACTAGATGACCAGTTAGTTGGCCCTGTGGATCTGGACCCTGCTCGGCCCTGACTGGGACCACACAGGACAGGATGTACCTACTATAAGGGGAGAGTCATCACAAGATCTTCCGACACTGGCAGCCCCAGGATGATGGAGGGCTCTGACCGTGGGGGACTCAGAGCCAGGACTGTCTTGCAAAGTGGGAAAAACTACAGAGATCCTGAGACCTGGGAGTCTCCGCCCTCACCCCCACCACCCCCCCTCCCCCTCCTCATCCCCCTTACACCCCTCTTCCCCTCGGCCCCACCTCCACACCCACCACCCAGGCCCAGGTCAGCCCTCTGGCACCGGGGTTTTCAAAGCAGGGGAACAGGGTTTGTATATTTAAGATGCCATGGGGTGACCTCCACAGTATTGCAGAAGGCGGGGTGGGGGGCGGCTCTTACTGTGTGTTAAGAAGCTCAGAACCAAACCCAGCCCACAATGAGTGGGAGAACGTGTCATAGATCCCTGCCTGAAGCTGCATTATTTTTCTTTCTGTTCCCTAAGACTCTCACCGATGAATTTTGTCCTTTGGTACCAAGGGCCGTGGAAGAGGACAGAGGGGGAAAGCCTTCCGTGTGTGGCCTCTGACCTGGCCAGGACTGAGGGGGCTGCAGGCAGCAGCGAAAGCCACCGGGGCAGGGGGGATCTGGAGCCACAGCCTGTGACCAGGTGAGGGGGGCAGGAGCTCTGCGCCAAGGAAGAGAGATGGCACCGATCATAACCCATGAACACCTGGCACCGTGCCTGTGTGGGAACGCAAGCAGCAGCACTGAACTCTTGGACTAGAGGCAGTGCCCAGTTAGGTAATTTTTAAAAAGCTGAACATCCTAAATTCTGGCAAGTCTGATTACAAAAAGGTAACTGGATTAGATACAGGGAATGATCAAAATATACAGTAAATGTTTAGTTTTTAAAATCGATTATAATAGACACAGAATAGATCCAATATTAGCCAAGCACAGTGGCGCACACCCGTAATCCCAGCATCACATGAGGCTGAGGCAGGAGGGCTGCAGTTTAAGTCCTGCTTGAGAAACATAGGAGACTCTGTCTCAAAAAAATAAAAATAAAACAAAACAAAACGGTGTTGATATACACAGCAAAGTTGGAGGTGACAGAGCCACTCCTACTCCCCTCCACTCACCTGAACCTGGGCAGCACCCCAGGGCCAACCCCATCATTCTTGTCCTTGGCTTCATGCAGGATGGCAGAGATGAGGGAAACAAAGACCCCCCGGCCCCAAGCTTGCCTGAGAATTCCACAATTCCAAACCAGGAAGGAGCTAGCGGAAGGCTTAGGTGCACAGACTGCGTCTCACACGTCCAGTCACCACAGAGTGAACCATGCGGTGCGCAGCTGACGCAACTCAGCACCCTGTCAGTCACGCACACTGACAGTCAGGCTCTGGCAGCCCAGTGGGGGCAACGTGCTAAACCCCTACGCCCTGCACCATCACGCTTGTGCGGTTTTCCTTCTGCTGCTGCAAGCCTGCTCGCTCCCGGCATACGATCTCCTTGTAAACTGTTGTTTTCTTGCCATTCCGAGCCACATCCAATTCCTTGTTCCTCCCCCACAAAAGCCCAGGAACCCCTCCTGGACCTCATCACCCAGGGCAACAGTCCAGGGTTGTAGCTCAGCGTAGAGCGCCTGTGTTGAATGACGGAGCCCTGGGTTCAATCCCTTGCACAGCAAGGAGAGAGGCACGGGGAGGGATGGAGGAGGAAGGAAGAAAGGAAGAGACAAATAATTGTCCATATTTCTTAAAATTGCAATTACATCTTCACTTTATACCATTCGCAAAAAAAAAATAGTAAGTCTATTAAAGAAGTTATTACAATTATTATAGTTAAGAGTGTAGCAAGGTTGCTTGATACAACTAGTCATTTGAAAATTATTTTTAGCAACAACCAGGAAGAAAATGTAAATTGAAAAAAAGACGTGGCTTCAAAGATGTGAAGGACATAGGACATGTTTGGAAAAAATTTAAACATTCCTGAAGATCTAAATAAATACTACATGGACAAGGGTATACAGACATATCCTTGAATCGGACATCTCTATAAAATAGTATCTTAAAAATACCAGTACTTCCCAAATCTATCTATAGATTTCATACTTTTTCAGTCACAATTTGAACAGAGAGTTTTACACAGCCATGAAAAAAATAATCTAAAATGCCAAGGTGCAGGGCCAAGAATAAGCAATTAGAAGCAGAATAAAAAGGTGGAGAGTCTCATTTAAAGTTGTGCCAGCCGAACAGAGAGCTCGCAGTGCCCCAGGCCTTGATCGGGCCTCTGCAGCATCCTCCACCCACCCCCGTGCTCTCACGCTTCCTGGCTGTGCCGGTGCCTGGATCCACACTGCACAGACACAAGTGGTCATAAAGGCCATCGTGCTGAGCTCCAGAAATAGAATGGAAGTGAACACCTGTAATAAAGGCACATCAGGCCTCCACAGTTGGTACGTCGGAGGGATCACCACCTTCCATCAGAACCTGGACTACCTTCAGGGGAAGGGCGGCTGGAACCTGCAGGAGAACCTTGCAGAGTTCAGCCCTGCAGGAGGTCAGGGAGCTCAACCTGGGCCCTGCAGCCAGAATTCAGCCTGAATCTCAGGGGTCTGCCATTGGCCGGCTGAGACTAATGGGCTTAGATCTGCACACTGCTGCCCACACTGTCTATTGTGACAGCAGAGACGTACCCTGAAAGAGGCTCTTCAAAGTTTTTTCTTTCTTTCCCTCATATTTTTAATTTTTATTTTTAAATTTTTATTTTTTCCCATTCTGCAAATTCGTCCTTTTTTCTTTCTTCTCTTTCCCACTCAATCTCTTGCTCCCCCACATTGTTCTTTGTCTCCCTTTTTGTTCCTGTTCCTGCCCTAATTTGGATTTCTTCTTTCTTTGTATTTTCTTCTCTTCTCTTTTTCCTTCATTCAATTGTAATTAGTTTCAAAGAAAAGTGAGCACAATTTATACCTTCCCTATTACTGTTAGGTTGTTCTACTCTTGCTTATGTTCTTGCACTCTGTCTTTCCCTCTTGTCTTCAACAGTTTCCTAGAGTTTGCGTGATCATCCTGTGTCCTCTGGCTTCACTTGAAACCTCCTCCTATCCTTTACCTATCTATTCCTCTCCTCCCAACTCCTCCTAAGTCCCCATCCTGAAGGGTAAAGTTGCTATATTTAAGAGTTTATTCACTATAAACACAGTTTGGGCTGGTCCTCAATTTTGATTCAATTCACATGGTTAAAGGTGATAGGTTAAAAAACTGCCACAAAAGATCAATTTCTAAACTGTTCTTGATGCTATTGTGTTTCTGATTGTATCAATTGGGCTAAAGAGTTGTGACAGATTTAATGAGTTGTCCTTTCTGATATTATGAAAATGAAAGTGTCTCTGAGTCATTAAAGACTCAGAACCTAAAGAGCAGCTACATCAGGAAGATCAAAGTACTAACCCAGAAATTAAACCAAGGACAGCCCAACAACAAAAATAAAAATGAGAAAACACTTAAGCAAGGCACAAATACAGACTTCCAGTTCACCAATGGCAAATTCTAGGGGAAATGAGGTGGAAAAGCCTGACAATCAACCACCAGGACACCCTGAACTCATAGTACAGGAAATAACAAAACAGATCAGGCTCTAGAAATTCAAAACAGAAATAATTTCCAAGATAACTTCAGCGATAGTGAGCACAATGAAAGACAGGATTAGAGACTCTACAACAGAAACAGACAAAAAATAGATGAGCTCAGGACCATGATAGAAGCCATGGATGCAAAGCATAGGGAAGAAATGGAATCCATGAAACAGATTCAAACAGATATCCAGAAGATTAAAAACTCTACTGAAAGCATTCACAGCAGAATGAACAAATGTGAAGATAGAAATTCAGATATAGAAGATAGGATTGTGGTCAGTGACCATGAAAAAAGAGATCTCTTAAAAACAGTAAGGGACCATGAGAAATCGATCCAACAACTCCTAGATGAAGCAAAGAAGAATAACATAAGACTGATAGGAATCCATGAAGTAGCAGAAGAAAGTATGAGTGACATAAAAAAAAAAACTGTTCACAGAATTAATGACAGAAAACTTCCCAAACAAAGGGGAAAAAATTGACATACAGATAAGTGAGGCATATAGGACTCCAATTAGTCATGATCAAAAAAATCTACACCTAGACACATAATAGTCAAGATCCTGGAAACTCAACAGAACAGAAGAACAAAATACTACAAGCAGTTAGAGAAAGAAACAAATCACATGCAAAAGGAAATCCCATGAGAATCACAGCAGACTTTTCAACACAAATCCTCAGGTCAAGGAGAGCCTGGAGGAAAGTATTTCAAGCCCTAAGAGAAAACAACCTCCAACCTAGACTGACGTATCCTGCAAAACTCTCTTTTAAAATGGATGGGGAAATAAGATACTTCCATGACAAAGAACACCTGAGAAACTTCATGAACACCAAACCACCATTCCAAACAATTCTAAACAATATCCTAGAAAAAGACAGTGAAGGGCACAACACCATGAGGCCCAACAGTGCAAATCAATTAGGCAAGGCAAGAAACTAAAGGTAGAGGGGGAAAAATTAAAAAGAGCCAACA